CTGTAGCAAAGAGAAAAATGCCTTTTCCTGGAAAAAAAAATCCTGTAAAATAGAAAAATGTGTTATGAAAAGAAATGATACAATTAGAAAAGTAGCAGAATGTTTTATTAAGAAAAAAAAAAAAAAGAATATGCCCTCCCAGGAAGGTCCCAGTGTGTCATAAGCCTGGGCTTTATGTACGTTCCTACTTCCTTACTTTCTAGGAATAAGATATTTAGTTCGTTATTCTGTCTGTCCCCAAAAGGCACATGCTTAAGTCATACTAGATTCTTTGGCACGCAGTGCTATGGCAAGATCCATATTTGTTTTCTGCTACCCGTGTGTCTCCAGCCCAAATGATTAGGGACAATTTATTTCTGGTGAATTGCCTTCAGAGAGGGCTTTCCAGGTTTGAGTTTACGCTAGATAAACAAAGACTGTGAAGGGAAAAATGTGATTAATTTGGAATCTTGATTTAGGGTAAATAGATAAAAATAGCTGCTGGATATTTTAAGCTAGCTTAAAAACTAAACCAGTGAGGAAATCCATCTTAGTGTATTTTGTAAATTATTCAGTTTTATTTTGAGTTCTCTTCCTTACTTTTCTCTGTTCAGTGTATCTAGGTATATGATCCAAGGAGATGGCTGAAAAGATTCAGTTGCCACTTGTGTCACCTCTCCTTTTTTTCAACAGTTCTGTCATTACTGCTGTGCTTGTCTTCTCTGTTCTGCCAAAGTAGTCTCCTGGAAAGTATCTTTTTGGTTTATGTTCTAGTTTTAAGGCAAATGCAACGAGCAGAAGTAAAATGCCAGAAATCCCTTCTATACATTGTGCAGAAGCTTGCTTTATTAGTTTCAGTTGTTTTAATTATTCAAAGTAATGGTCCATTAAAGACTAGTGAACACATCGTAGTATGCTCTATGTATGAAGTCATTATATAAGCCCCACTCATATGTTCTTACCAGAATGTTGAACATTAAATTTTTAAATCCTGAGGATTGGTGGAGTTGCAGTGACTCCAACTTTCTGCAGATACTCTGTATTCAAAAGATGTATTTTTTGTTTAACTTTCAGATCCAGAATGCTAATGACGTGCTAATAGCACCACTGGAGAAGTTCCGAAAAGAGCAAATAGGAGCAGCAAAAGTAAGTGGCAGAGAAAATTACTCATTTTCATTTCATGTTTAGTGGAATTCGTCAGGGTGTTTTCAGAGCTGGACTGAAGGCAGGCGTGTGTTTTCGAACACGTTAGGTACCATCCTCATTGATGTATTAGTAAATTAGACTGAAGTCCTTGCTGCAGAAAACAAGAGGATTCAAAAGTGGTGTTTAAAGACTGCTTGTGTGTATGCATAGGGTAGAGCTCTTGTTACTATTGCTCATTCTTACCATCTGGAGTTGTGTTTATCTTCTAATGTCTGCATTTACATTACTTTGCGTCTTGGGTTAACTCACAACCACAAAGAGGTTCAGACATCTGCTTTGAGAACTGTGGCTCTGCTGTGGCTCTTCTGTGGAGACCATCAGAAGTCGTTGTGCTTTGGGCAAGCGCTCGTTTTCCCTGACTTTCCTCCCCTGGTGCAACAGTTGTTATCTTTATATTGCCCAGAGATTTGCCCATGATGGAAGATCTCTGGTTGGTAATTTAAGCTCTTTGCTTTAGTGTTAAGTTTTAAATCTACGTTATAGGAATGGCACGGATTATCTAGATCAGAATTCAATTGTCAGCCCAGGGAACTATTTCCCTTAAGGAAAAAGAAACAAGTTTCTAGTCTAGAAGAGCTATCCTCAGTTTAATCCTGCAGTCTCAGGTGGGCACCAGTGTCTACTTTGATCGCAATCTCCCAGAGATGTATAAAGCCTGTAGTAGCTGGGGATATGCTTAGTAACAGTTCCATCTGTCTACGTAAATGCAGTAGTTTTGAGGCATTTCACTCGTATTAGCACTTGTCGTAAAATTTTCTGGGAAATCTCCGTATGTAGGGTTAAACGAGGGGAAAAAAATCCGCTTTTGATTGATCCGCTTACGTACATCCATAAGACACTTCCCTCATACTCAATGAACCTCAGAGGAGGAGCAGAGAGGTTAGAGACTAAAGGCTTATACATCTTGTACTGCTGCTGTGAATGTATAGCAAACAGATGAGACTGCCTCTGCACAGGGACTAAATAAAATGTGAGAAGAATTTTTACTGAGAACCTGTGAAAAGGATGTTGTTTTGCTGGATATGTTTCTGTGTACAACTGCATTCTTTTCTCGTCCCACCCATATGCTGCTGTTAAATGCACAAGTGGGAGTTTGTTTTTAACAGTGCTGCAGAAATCAAAATTTAATCCCAGCATATATATTTTTTTAATTTCCAATAGCTTTTTAATTGTATCGTTCAGCTCTTTGTGTTACAATTTCATTTTTTTCCCATAGCTTCAGGAACACCCTGTTCAAAATCTAATGTGCTGTGAGGCTGTCTTGCTGCGTCAGAGAGAAGAGAGTGTTTGGAAGGATTACGGCGGAGTCTTATGAGATGCTCAGGTCCCATTTGAATATATCAATCAGGAAATGCCAGGGTTTTTTAATCATCTGGTTGAAGATTGCTGCTTCGTTTTTGGATCAGCAAATATTGAACATTAGTGATAGAGTACAAGAGAACAGGTTGAAAATTCTCACTTCAGTGTAGTACAAATACTAATATATCTTTTCTGTATCCCTTCCAGATAAAAGTAGGGACTCTTGCTTATCCTTTACAATGTAATGAAACAAGGATCATTTTCAGTTATCTGTGGCCATCCGTCCAGCACATTCATTCCTGAATGAACTTGGGATAGAACTTTTATTTGCCGACTCGTATTCCCATGCTTAATGCTTTTTATTAATCAATGGTACATGGGTTTCGGGCAGCCTAGGATCCTGGCTTAACACACTGATTGGACTTCGAAATTACTCATTTTTGTACTGTTTTAATCTGAGTATAGAAATGTTTTTGAGGGAAAAAATGCATTAGCTAGTTGTGTTACTTATGTGCATAACAGGAATCAATATTAGTTCGGTACTGTTGCCAGACTTTGGTAGAGGGATGCATAGGAGAGAAACTTCTTAAAAACATGTTTGCTGGACATAGTCATTCTTTCTAAAATGCTGGGTAAAATTCTGGAATGAAGATGTTCATTTATGAAGGAGCCAAAATCAGCCTTGAGCATTATAAACAAGCAATCCTCCCCCGCTATCAAAGAAAAAACAAAAATAGTTTATTAAATGGCATTTTTAGTATGACAATCTCCGTTTTGTTTGAATAAGTAACTTCTTTCATTGCCATTTTATGCTATGGTTATGTCTAATATAGGGAAGAAGAATACTATATTTCTCATTCAAGCCTACATAAAATTTAGATAAAATATATGATTACAGAGAGAAATAAAAAAGAGAAATCTGGACAAGAAAGTATTATTCTATTGACAATATGAAGCTGTACTTCAAATGCAAGTACAGCATAAACCCAGAGTGCAAAGTTCAAGTATTTTTTAGAATGTCACAAGACCAATTACCTGCATGTATTTCAAAAACCGAATGATACCCAGCAAATTTAAGAAACAGGCTCCATAAAACACCACTGTTTGTAATCAAACCGGCAGTATGCAAATCTACATCACTTACTTTTCTTGATTTATACTACTTGCTCTTCTGTTTTTATTGCGCATATTTCTGCTCTTCCTTTTCTCTGCACACTCGGTTTAAATAAAACTTGAGTTGTCTCCAGAGACTACACAAACCCTGCATTGCTCTGGGTAGCCTGTTGATTTACTCCATCTGAGTTTAAAAAAAATGACCTCTGCAATTACTGTACAAATCCTAGGAAAAGCGCAGTGAGCTAACTGGGAAAAGATTTCAGGCACGAAGCAGTTTCCCTTATTTGGTAAATGTGGTTTGCAAGTCCCCAGCTGGTAACTTTGGTGAGATCACTGTGATGTGTTATATGCAATAAGGCCAAACTTTCATGTTGCTTTTTATCCACTGACTTACAGTATTTAGCAATATTTGTCCCAGTGACCATTGACCTTTAGTACAACTCAAATCAGATCAAAGAAAACAGAAGCAATTTTGTTTGTAAGACTTAAAAGAAGGGGTTTCTTTCCTCCTTTGTTTTCCATCTGTTTGTTTCATAGAATTTATTATTTTGGCCTGGAGAATTATTTTTTTTAATATTATTTATTTTTATTCATTCATTCATAGCTGTGAGTTCCTTTCTGCTTGGGAAACAAATTGATGTTCACTGCTAGGATTAATTTTCTCGCATCCCTGTTCACATCTGTCCTCGCGCAATCGAGTCATGCAAGAATTAGAGCGCGCTCTCAATGTGTCTTATTGCTACTGCCCAAAATGTTGGGGAGCATAAAGTAAAGTGTATTTTAAAGTCAGAGAAGAGTTTTGAGTACATATCCAAAAGCAGTTAAAAATGGACAGTTCTGTGAATTGTTTCCCTTGGGATCTAATCCAATTCCAGCAATTGTTGTAAATCCTACTGTTTCTTTAGCAGAGAAAAACTCTTGACCTAGTTAATACTACGTTAGGGAGCGAAGTAGGGTGTACTTCCTTACGAAGCATCTGTTACTCAAGGTTTGTGACCTGAAACAGGCGAAATTCATGTCTGCTGGTTTGGGAGTCTTTAGGACGTCCATCTGAACCGCAGCAATGAGGGGGCTGGGGAGGAAGCAGGGAGACAGGACGGGCCGTGTCGTGTGCGAGCCGTGACTGATGGCCAACTGCTTCAAGCTAAACGCAACACGGCTTCCCAAAAACGTGCAGTTCCAGAGTTACCTGATACCTGTTTTGATAAGATAACTGATTTTATAGACAAGGAAGTGGGCCTAACCTATCTCTGCTTCAGAAAAGCTCTTAAAGCACACGACATGAGGCATTGAGATGTGGTTGAGGTGGATATTAGTCCAAGTCACCCGCAGTGTCTAAGGAGCTGGTTAACTGGGAGCAGGCAGTGGGGTCTGGTAACTGAGAGCCTGTGAACTACCATGAAAGGGAAGAGAGTGTATTGCAAAATACTGCTGTTCCTCCAGGGAAGACTTGGTGCGTATCTTTGCTCATATACAAAATGAGGTTGTCTGACAGATAGCCACGATAACACTAATATAGGCTTCATTCTGCACATTTGTGTAATTACATTTTGAGGATTCTGTTAACACCATAGTGTTTGTTCACATGTTCAGTATTAATTCCACATATGAATCTTTCCAAGATGAGGTTGTTATTCCTTAATGCCTGTATAAACACATTTAGTTCCAAGGTGCTGGTCCAAGATTATTTTTATCTGATAATAATTCAGAATATATTGTCTAATCTGGTATTTCAGTTAAATTACTATCGACAGGTCCAAGAACTGAAAAATCAGAAGGCTAACCAGGGGAAAAAAGTCATAATGGTAGATCTTATGGTGACAGCTTCTAGAAAACTTGAAAATTCAAAAACTTTGGGATTTTGAGATAGTTTACTAATTTTTATTAAAATTATTTTGAAAGTGTAGAGAATAATTATTGTAATAAAATATGTCTAGCACTGCTTCTTACATCGTTCGTACATGAAAGTATTTGGAGGATTCAAAAATTGTGGTAAAGAGACAGGTGGGCTTATCTTTTTTTTCAGGTAGTCCTATTTTCTTTTGCAGAATGTCAAATCACAGAGTTAGAAGGTATCTCTGGCTAAGTAGCTCTACCCAGAGGCTTTTTGAAGTGATTAGTGACATCTCCTGTCATTTCTGCAAGTGCAGCAAAACTATTTTATTATTTCAGCTTCCTTCAGTTCAATAGCTATTTCATTCAATGTCAGGAAAGTTTTAGAAAGCTTTTTTAGAAAAAAAGAAGAAAATAAAAATCTCTAAAGCTTGTTTCCCTTTTAATATTTCACTTCCAATATACTGGTTTTTTTAAAGAGCAAGAGTTCTGATCTCACAGTAAAATATTGTACTCACAGTGATAAAACAAATTTCAGTTCAGTTCATTAGTTGCAGGTATTTGTTAGTAAATTGGTTACAAGAAGATATGCAACCAAATCAAGGCCTTTTCTTTCTGATGCAGCAAAGATTTTGTCATTCTAAATAGAAATAGAAATTGGCTGCATCACCATAGATTTCCCTTCTCACTTA